CACATGCATGTACCTGGTACAGTAGATACACAGTATCAGGTAGTGACATAGAAATAAAGTAATTTATAAAGAAAAAAAGGTACTGATTACTTTAGGAAATATAATTATTACCGGGAAATATATTATTCGTGGCAAATATGTTCTAAATTTATTAAGATTGAAATAAAAAATTTAAAGATAATTTATTTATTTTATTTATTAATTACAAATGCCTAACACTAAATATTTAAAATATTTTCAAAAGTAAATTTCTAAAATATTTTCAATTTCTTCACATCTTTTGGCAACAAATGAAATTTTCGTGTTGGCTCTTTTTCATCCCAAACACTTCAAATAATGTTTACCCATTTTTATAAAAAAAATATTTTTTTCACAACTATTTAAATTTTTTTTTACTATTCGTCTTTTCAAAATTTATTTTTATTATTTGTAAAAATTATATTATATAAATTATAATAATTTTTTTAAACACTTTTTTTCTTCTTCGCTTTCATAATATAATACACATTTTTTGCCACCTTGTACTGGAATGAATTACAGAAATTATTGTGTCGCTTTTAAAATTCTTAATATTTTTCCCTATACTTTATATAGGAGCAAATAATAAAGTGTCGCCTTTCAAAATTACATTATAAAAAAACAGGTTGACATCTATTGCGTACTCTTTCCCTCTCCCAAAAATTCTTATGTGTATAAAAATGAAAATAAGAAAGTATACTGCTTAACTCTTTTAACTAAGGGAATTTTTTGTATACAAAGATTGGTGAGTGATTGCATTAGTGTGATGTAAACGGAGAGTCGAACTACTTGTTAGTAGATATACTTTGCAAGTAGTTCAACTTTCCGTTAAAAGAGTTAAGCAGTATACCTTGTTATTTTCATTTTTATACACATAAGAATTTTTGGGAGAGGGAAAGAGTACGCAATAGATGTCAACCTGTTTTTTTATAATGTATTTTGAAAGGCGACACTTTATTATTTGCTCGTATATAAACTATAGGGAAAAATATTAAGAATTTTAAAAGCGACACAATAATTTCTGTAATTCATTCCAGTACAAGGTGGCAAAAAAGGTGTATTCATATTATAAAAGCGAAGCGGAAAAAAAGTGTTTAAAAAAATTATTATAATTTATATGAAAAATAATAAAAATAAATTTTAAAAAGACGTATAATATTAAAAAAAATTTTAAGGAATTGTGAAAAAAAAAAATTTTTATAACAATGGGTAAACATTATTTGAAATGTTTGGGATGTAATATTGTGTGTGAGGCAAAAAAGCCGACACGAAAATTTCATTTGTTGCCAAGAAATGTGGAGAGGTTTGCTCTTTTAAATGAATCGGTAATAACTATATTTCATAAAGTAATCAGTATGCATACACCTTTTTTTTCTTTATAAATTACTTTATTTCTATGTCACTACCTGATACTGCGTATCTACAATTTCAAACTCTTTTGCTTTCATACATTCGAATTTTTTATCTAACTTTAAAAAATGAAAAATAAATTTTGTTATTATCAAAACAAAAATAACAAAATTTTTACCTAACTTAATATAATTTTATTTCAGTTCATTGTTTTTGATACACTCGTTTGTTTACAATATTTTGTTTCTTTCTTGCCTACACAACTCTTATTACCATCTATTTCTAAAAAAAAAATGGAATATTTTAAGAATTTGGAAGCAAGATGCAAATGAAAACTAACGGAATGGAACGAGTCGAATTACTTATTAGTATATATATACTTTGTTTAGCATATTGCAGAAAGTCCGTGACTTCAATAATGCGTTTACGATGTAACTTAACAAAGTATCACATTCCAAAAAGTTTAGTAAAAGCTCTTGACATTGTACGCTTTTCCTAAATGAGTTCTATACGTAGTGGATACGTAGAATAAGAGTAAATTGGATATCGAGAAAAATCGAACACGCTTTTCTTATACATGTCATATACATGTTGCCAGAAATAAACAATTAAATAAACTAGCATATATTTTCAGCAATAAAGTGCTAGTTTTTAAGTTTTTTTCCTAAACTGCAGCATAAAAATGAAATAATTGTTGCACAAACTTTAAATTGAAATTTTTAAACAAACTAAAAGTATGTAGTAATATTGTAAAAATTGTATTTTAAAATGTATCAAAAGCTTTAGCAGTTTTTTTAGCAATGTAAAGGTATTGAAAGCTCTGAGGAGGTATTACAATCGTATTAATGTCTTTATATCTAACAAGTAATGTCTTTATATCTAACAAGTCCCAATGCTCAGAGAGAAACTTGAAAGTACGACCTTATTTTATATGGGTTTTTTTAAATCGAAGTGGCTATTTTTTTAGAAGAAATATTAAAATAAATTTAGACTTATTATAAAGCAGGTAAAATTTAGAAAATATATTTGAAAAATCAAAAAAATATATTAATATTTTCATTGATAATTATTTTAAAATTATAAAAAAAGCGGAAAAACAACAAGCACATCCTTCGCCTTCAACGTTTTATATGTTGCTGAAAGCATTTCATTATTTTTAAGTAAACAGCTTTTTTTTCTCATAGGGTAAGTTAACTCAAGATATGGGGAGTAACTGTGGTGTCAAGTTGAAAATATAATTAATGAAATATAATTCTTAAATATTGATATAAATACATAGTAAAGAAAAAATTTGAAGAGGGAATTAGAAAATAATATCTAAAATACAATCAAATATTATTTGTCAAATGCAAATTTTATATAAACTTCAAAATTTTACCTCTATTTTTATTTGAAAAAATATTAAAAACTTACTATCATTTATATCAATTACCTAAGAAAAAAAAATATTTAAAATGTTTGGAAAAAACAATCATATATTTTTATGACCGGATTTGAATATTTTTTTATTTTTGAAATAAATGGTATTTTACCAAATGACTCAAAAATTCCGACTGTAAAATAACAGGTATTTTAAAATTTTTGTTCTTTATGTAATATTCTTTCCGTTTAAAATTAAGATAGGTTATACATACACATGCAGGGACATTAAATAGATTGCATGTTTGAAATAGTTTTAAAATAATTATTTAAAAAAAATTTATTGGAAGTAGGTACATACATATTTATTTTTAATAACTTAAAAACTAGCTGAAATTATTTGAAACAATTTTATAAGTAACGTATAAATAACCGAAATGAGATAATTCAAATTGTTGAAATGTGTCAACCTATATTACTAAGTAATAAATAAATTTTTTTTAAATAATTATTTTAAAACTATTTCAAACATGTTATATTGAGTGCTTCAAAAATTTTGCTGTTCTCTTTTTTCATATTTTATTAGCAGGTAAATAAGAGCAATCTATTTATAAAATGTCCCTGCATGTGTATGTATGACGTATCTTAATTCTAAACGGAAAGAATATTAAATACCATTTATTTCAAAAATGAAAAAATATTCAAATCCGGTCATAAAAATATATGATTGTTTTTTCCAAACATTTTAAATTTTAACAAAAATAAAAAATATTAAAAACTTACTTTTCCAAAGTAAGTTTTTACTATTTTTTCAAATAAAAATAGAGGTAAAATTTTGAAGTTTATATAAAATTTGTATTTAACAAATAATATTTGATTGTATTTTAGATATTATTTTCTAATTCCCTCTTCAAATTTTTCTTTACTATGTATTTATATCAATATTTAAGAATTATCTTTCATTAATTATATTTTCAACTTGACACCACAGTTACTCCCCATATCTTGAGTTAACTTACCCTATGAGAAAAAAAAGCTGTTAACTTAAAAATAATGAAATGCTTTCAGTAACATATAAAACGTTGAAGGCGAAGGATGTGCTTGTTGTTTTTCCGCTTCTTTTATAATTTTAAAATAATTATCAATGAAAATATTAATATATTTTTTTGATTTTTCAAATATATTTTCTAAATTTTACTTGCTTTATAATAAGTATAAATTTATTTTAATATTTCTTCTCAAAAAATAGCCACTTCGATTTAAAAAAACCCATATAAGATAAGGTCGTGCTTTCAAGTTTCTCTCTGAGCATTGGGACTTGTTAGATATAAAGACATTAATCGTATTAATACCGTACTTGAACTTTTTATAAAGCATTATTGAAGTCACGGAGTGTCTTCGAAAGCTCTATTAGTGTTATTCATGGATTTTTACAAAAAATTGTTCTCCTAAAATATACAAAAAGTTTCAATTTTGTTACACCAAGTAAACTAATAAAAAGTAGTGCAAAGTTTAATAGTGGTGTATAGTTTTATTTTTAAAACCTTTTAACATTACAGAACTAATAAAGTACTATATCTACTCTTTCAACGCAAACCTCGGAGCACAACTTTTGAAATATTTTGATGAGCTTTTGAAACTCTTTTTACAACACGTCGCGTATTTTTTGTTTCAAACGCTTGTTGCGAGCTCCTTCAAGACTTAATCCATAAGCAATATTTTTTTTAAAAATCGATGAATAACACTTATAGAGCTTTCCAAAATATTTTCTAGAATATGCTACATGACGACTATAATTTATGTATTTGTTTCAAAGTTCCTTTAGAAGCTTTTTACAACCTTAACGTCCGTAAGGGGTTCTTTTCGAGATACAAAAAAAAACTTGTACAGCTTTTCAAGATCTTGCCTATAATATGAATTGATTGAATTTATAACAGATATTTTTTAAGTTGTTGGACAAAGTCGTTGAAACTTTTCAAGACCTTTTCCATTATACCGCACGATCATATTTAAAATTTTTTTCTCCCTGCTCCGGATTGACACAGAATAGATTTTTCTGAAGGGTTTTTGAACAAATCATGTAAAACTCTTTCTGATGTTTTATCCCGAATATAATTCCATTTTGCAAAAAAATTTAATTTTAACAGACAAAATCTGGAAGGAATATTTGAAGCCCGAAAACTGTATTATTTTCAACTTTATCAATAGAAGGAAATAAATAACACAATATAAAATAAAAAATAAAAACAAGTTTCATAACTTAAGTAGCTTACCACATACGTATCAGGTAATATATAGGAAGCAAAACCTAATTCTTTGTCAACTATCTTTAACAACTCCATTAACCTTTCTCTTTTTTTTTGATGCTCAGAACTGGTAACTCTAATAATTCTTCCGTCGTTGCTCCATTCAAAATAGCGTCCGATAACGTCTTCATCAATCCAACCCCGGAATTTTAGGAAGTACATTGAATCATGATATTCCTTATGAAGTTTTTCTTCTTCAGGTTCATGAACTGTATAAACTAATCCACATTTTTCGCATTGCTTTGCCCCGAACTCTTTTTGACCAGCATCTATTTGATATTGTTCCCCTCCAACGGCCCCCCGCCATAATTTTCCAAATTTGTTACTTCTTGAAAATTTGTTTTGTACTGGAATATATTTTTTTCCTGAAAAAAAAATTGGATAAAGCCCTTGTTGTTCGCAAATTGACGTATCCTTTTGTTTAATTGGCTGAGCTTCGACATCTTGAGATAAATTTTCACTTGGAATTGGATCAATTTGCATTAAACTAGACACACTTTCAATTACTTTTTCCGCCTCTTCTTTCCGATTTTCTAGGTCTTTTATGAATATAGTGAAATTTTTTTCGGTGCATATATTGTTTTCAATCAAAAAGTCCAGCAATATACCCTGCTCTTTTGCTTTTACTGGATCAGTAGTATTGTATGGAATTTGATTTCGAAAATGATCATAGGGATCTAAACTGAAATTTTCTTTTAATGGACAAATATCCTCATTTACTATCTCAACTATGTTATTAATAATTTCGTCAGCTTCATCCTTATGATTATCGGGATCTGCTATAAATATTTCAAAATTTTTTTCGTTGCAAATGTTGTTTGTGATTAGAAAATCTAACAACAAATTTTGACGCTCAATTTCATTAGGATCGATAGTACGATATGGTATCTGTTCACGAAATTTTTGATATAAATTATCTTGTCCAAGAATATCTGAAATATTTGAAACATTCTCATCCATTTTACTAGCTACTTGTTGATTCAAAAAATCTGTTAACTCATACGAAACTTGAAAGTTCTCAGCAATTGCCTTGCATCCCTCACTTTCTTTTTTCTTCGGAGAAACATCTAAATTTTTAATTATGTCATTAACTACTGCTTGTTCGTTAATGAAGGTTTTATCTGTAAAACATTGAAAATAAACACTAAAATACCTTCAAATGATCATGCCAACTATAAACTTACTGCTTTTTGTTTTTTTTTTCTTTTCCGATAATAATGACATTTTTCCACAAGATACACCAAGTTTTATATTATCAGTGATTTTAATTTCCTTAAAAGAAGAATGACCTGATTTAAAAAATTTTTTGCCTTTTAAAGGTGAAACTAACTCGTTCTCTTTAATCGTATTTATACATAATGCACCATGGCCTTCATTACTCTGTATTGTATTTTGATTTTGAAAATCATCGATTTCACTTTCTTCTGAGTCTGAAAATGTTGAAAATGTTTCATTTTCGCAATTTATAACTAAAGGTCTTGCTAGCTCAATCGAATTCACAGCAGTTTTTAATATATTATGAACTTGCTTAACTTTTTCTGGGGAAACTCTTTTAGATGGTAAACACTTTAACTTTTCAGATTTAATTGTCTTCAGAAATTCACTTATGCTTTTTATGCTTTGCTTGTTCTTACTAGGGTTTTTACGAATACCATGACTTACCCCCTTATTAGCTAGTTTGGTAATATTTTCAGTATTACCTTTTTGTGATCTTGTTTTTTTAGAAAATTTGCAGTAAGGTTTTGCAAGAGGAGATTTTGGGACCATTTTCAAAACATTGGGAGATATATTTAAAGGAGCAGAAGCCTTTTTAATTTCTATTGGCCCTTGCTCAACTTTTTGAATTGTGTAAAAACATTTCGTTGAGATTTGTAGATCTTTAATTGAAACTGTTTCTTTTCTCCTTAGTTTATTCAAATCATTTGCTGAGCTTGGAAAATGTTTGAAGTATAATTTATGTTTATCTCTAATATTTTTGTCTGAATAAATTACTTTTTCATCAAAAGTTTTCAATCGACTACTATTAACTGATTGAATGCTAACATTATTGAATATTGTTTGTAATCCTTCGTTGCCTGTTGTTCTGCTTTGTACCCTTTTCTTTTTTGCACTTGATGTAACATAATTCATGCTATTTTCAACAAAAGGTATTTTCATTGAGGATCTTAAAATTTTATGGCTATTTTGCATCGACATGGGACTTAGTGGCGCAATACCGCTAAAACTTGTTTCCAAATTTTCATTTGTATCATCTTTTTCAAATAAACTGCGTCTACTTTCTTTAATGCCGAAAGGAGACAATGCGCATTTTTTTCTGCGAGATGTTCTTGGTGTTTTCAACTAAAATAAGTAAAAACACTATATGTTACTACTATAGAAACGTAAGTTTTATTAAATTACCGATTCCGAAAATTTATTCGGCGAGCAATTTGGATAATCTGGGGTTAATTGGCCTTTCGGGGTTTTCTCATTGACACTTCGAACTCTCAAACGACTTTTCCGTACCAAACTTTCTTCTGAAACTTCTGTTAAACACTTATTTTTATCTAAAAACGGACTCTTTCTTTTCATGATATAAAAATATACATATATTATATTTCTGAAAATCAAATCTTAATTCATAAAATATTTAACAAAATATTCAATTTATTGTTCACTAATTATACTGTTCTGACTACACTATCATACCCGCAAAAATGTCAAATTTAAATGGATTCCCGCCACGAACACCAAAATTGATAAATAAATCCAAAATAGTGCTTCCGTTTTAGCAGAAAAAGGAAGAGTAATCAGCAAAGGTCCCAACTGAAAACATATAATAAGTAGATCTTATCGAAAAAATTGAGTAGAAGTAGATTTTTCTTCTTAATATTCAAAGAGAACAAATCTAAAAATAAGCGCAATTTATAAGTGTGAACCCGATTTATGTCTTTTTAGTTTTCGTTTTTCATTTTGAATATTCCAGTAATTTACTGCTTAATTTTTTCACAAATTTTATTAATATTCATCTCCTTATTCGACTTTTTTTCAAATATTATCCTTTTTTTACAGTATATACACATTAACACCATAATGCACACAAAATTTTTGTGGATTTTAAAGTTTCAAACAAGCGAAATATTTCATAAGTTTAATTATATAAAAAAAATAGTCAAAGTAACAAGCTTAACGTTCGTTTTTCTTTTTATCATATATGCTATAAAAATCCTATTCAAACAGATTTTGACAACCAAAAAATGTAACTTATTTCCAGCCCGTTTTACATCTTTCATTTTACGAAAGCAACCTGGGTGTAAATTAAGTTTAAGGTGTATTTTAGTTACCGTTATTCTAAATCTGATGAAAATTTTCTGAGAATTGGACGATATTCTACTTTTTTGTTGCAAAAAGTATGGTTTTGAACGAACTCTAAGAAAGTTTATACATCTAGATTTTATCGAACTCGCATCAGATCAAATAAATTTAGCAAAATGCACACCAGACATTTCCATTAGGTACACGCGCTCTCTGTAACTTTCACTGCGACGTTGTTAATTAGTCAAAATGAAAAATTGATGACTTTTGATAATTTCTGATATACTCGTAAAAGTTGACACTTTGATAAACCAATAAAAAAATTATATTACTTTTTAAAATTTATTTTTATTTTTTTATTGGTGTGAAAAGAAAACTCCCTTTTATTCGGAATAAAATACTTTTTTTTTTTTTTTCGCTAATATATTTCGTGCGCTACATACGCACTTTATCAAAGCTGATTTTCTTCTGATTTTCTGAAAAAAAGTATTTTATTCCGAATAAAAAAAGGAAGTTTTCTTTTCACACCAATAAAAAAATTATATTTCGGAGAAATTATCAACCATTGAAAAAAAAATTTTTTGAATTTATTTTTATTATTTTTCAAAATTATATTATATAAATTAAAATAATTTTTTTAAACACTTTTTTTCCGCTTCGCTTTTATAATACACATTTTTTGCCACATTGTCCTGGAATTAATTACAGAAATTATTGGGTCGCTTTTAAAATTCTTAATATTTTCCCTATACTTTATATACGAGCAAATAATTAAGTGTCGCCTTTTAAAATACATTATCAAAAAACAGGTTGACATCTATTGCGTACTCTTTCCCTCTCCCAAAAATTCTTATGTGTATAAAAATAAAAATAAGAAGGTATACTGCTTAACTCTTTTAACTAAGGGAATTTTTTGTATACAAAGATTGGTGAGTGATTACATTAGTGTGATGTAAACGGAGAGTCGAACTACTTATTAGTAGATATACCTTGGGAAGTGGCAAGCAAACGAAAAATAACGGAGTGGAACGAGTCGAACTACTTATTAATAGATATACTTTGCTTTAAACATTAAGAATGTCATCATTTCCTCTCTTTTTGTTCAAATAAATAATATTATCTCAGATGCAAAAATTTTATGAAGTTTATAATTCCTTGGCCATGCAAATTTATAAAACAACAAAAAAACATCACCGCAAGTATGGATTTAAAATGTATTGCGTTACGTTGCGATCGCTTGAGGGTTTATTCAAAGACTTAATTGTAGCTGTAAGATTTTGCAATAGGTTTATACATCAAATATTTAACGAAATTCTCAAAAAATTAAACTTTAAAAAGTAATTTATAAAAATTCCAACTTTGATATTAAAAAATCACTTGTGTCATAGTAAATTCGCGCAAAGGAGACAAGCTCTGAATTTATTTTAACAAAATTTCACTTTATTTATACAAGAATATTTTGTTTTAAAATGAAAAACTATCTATAATACTACAAAAAATATCTTTCCCTCTTCGTAATACCTACATATTTCAACATTAATATAATTTTGTAATTTTGCTATTGCGCGATCGAAATTGATTGTAGGAATTGTAAAAAGTCTCTATTGAGTGAACTTAATGATTTGAAATTGCAAATTTATCTCGTTTCAGTGCTTCACTTGTTTCATTTTTATTCTCCATTTGTAATTTTTATTAGGTATAGGTATAGTTTCATATCGTAAATTTAAAAACTAGAAAGCATTCAAGCAAAGTCATCGTCAGTGCAGGTATTATTGAATATATGTAGGTTGATCAAAAATTTAAAATATTAGACAAAAAGTTACATAAAAATTTAAAATTAGAGTCACTACAATTTCTAAATAAAAAAAGGTAAGCAAGAGGAATATTTTTCATAAATTTATAAAGTTTTGACGTGCAAATTAGCTTCAAGAGTCACCATTTCTTTTAATTTGAATAAATAAATTTAGTGATGACGCAGTTAAAGAGCTGTGCATTTGTAAGTACGTATGTACCTTGTATTTTAATTATATGGCAGCCATGATATATGGTAACAAATTAAAATTTTTAAATTAAGTAAATGTAAATATAGGAATTGAAACCTTAATAAAACTAACATACGTACATATGTATGTAATTTGGAAATTGTGATATTATGAAGTTAATTTGAATAACTGGAAAAATCTACATTGTATGTATATTTAAATCGGTTCGGGTTCGGTCGCGATAAATGCGATTCATTTTATATAATAAAAGTAAGTTCGGAAATATTAAATATACATAATTTATACAAACTTAGGTGCAAAACTTCAACGGTTTGTAAAAAAAATACATTAAAAAAAACACTAAATAAAAACAAAATGCCGGGAGCTGGAACATTTAAACTTTTTATTGGAAATCTTGATGAAAAAACTCAGGCATCCGATTTGCGCCCATTGTTCGAAAAATACGGTAAAGTTGTTGAATGCGATGTCGTCAAGAATTATGGGTTTGTTCATATGGAAACCGAAGAACAAGGTCGCGAAGCAATGTCTAACTTAAACGGTTTTGAAGTAAACGGCAATGCAATCAAAGTGGAAGCCGCAAAAAGTCGTCGTAATCCAAACACATCGACAACTAAAATATTTGTTGGTAATTTAACAGATAAAACTCGAGCACCGGAAGTACGAGAGTTGTTCACTAAATTTGGTACCGTTGTTGAATGTGATATTGTTCGGAATTATGGTTTTGTTCATTTGGATTGTGCCGGTGACGTTCAAGATGTTATTAAGGAATTAAATGGACGTGTCGTTGATGGTCAACCATTAAAAGTTCAAGTTTCGACGAGCCGTGTAAGACCAAAACCGGGTATGGGTGACCCAGAACAATGTTATCGTTGCGGTCGTTCTGGACATTGGTCAAAAGAATGCCCACGTTTATTTGGTGAACGCGGTTTTAGAGATCGTATGTACGGCCGCGATCCATATCCTCCACCACCACCACCACCATTCTTACGCGACAGGATTATGGATAACTATAGGGTAAAATAATGAAAATATAAGAAAAGAAAACTTTATATTTCGAATATATTATATAAACTCAATTTTGCAATATGAAATTTTTGATAAATAAATTTATTTGAGTCGCAATGTTAGAACGCAAATCAATCAAAAATTTTATGTTGAATATGAAAGATTGTTTTTAAATAAAAAATGTTGAAATTTCGATTAGGATTATGATTACTACGATCGCAGATTTGATGATGGTCGCGATCTGTTTGAAAGACGTTTCTCCAGCTCCAGGATGCGAGACTTTTCACCGCCTCCTATGGGAAGACGTGAACCAATGCCATTACCACCATCTTTAGGTGGAGGAAGTTTACGAGGCGGCAGCGGATTAGGTGGGCGTGGTTTTGATTCGATGTTTAGTCGTAGAACTCCACCAAGAAGCAATGGGCTTGGAAGATATGGGTAAGTAAGCTTTTTTAATTTTAATAAGTTTCAATGTAGTATGCCCAATTATATTTCAGTGGATATGAAGATTTTAGTCGTGATTCGTTTGACGATCGTCGGCCGGGTGGTATGAGAGGAAGATATGCTCCGTACTGAGATGAATTTTTTTGCTTAATTTCATCTACTGACGAGTTTCGAAGTCGAAGGAAATGGAGTACAATTGAACATCGTGCTGGATTTATATGACATTAAAAAAATAAAAACGTAACAATTCATAATTTACTTCTCAATTTTATAAAATTGTTAGAAAACATTCATCTTTACGTTCATGATAAAATGTGTTTTAAAAAAATTTTTGTATTTGGGTACCGATAATTGCAATGTGAAGAATATGTTATACAAGTACGATATTTAATCAAATTTATAAAGTATTAGCAAAAATTCGTGTATTTACCGCAGTAAGAATTAAGATTTTAAACAAATTATTACATAAAACTATGTACTATAGATTTTAGATTTACTTGAATGATTACAATTTGAAATATTTAATTGAGACATATTTTTTCTTTTTGATAATTAAAATTGAGTGAAAAATCAAATTTTAATAAAACTTTATAGTACATTGTGTACATACAAGTAAAGTAAAAAACATATTAATAACTCTTTTACCTCTAAGTTAATGAAATTCGATTTTTAATTAACATAACAAAAATTGTTATGTTAATGGAAACTACTTTTTTATTTAAATATCAGTAGAAAAAATATGAATTTCCTATGCTTAACAGAAATATAAACCTTGAACGCTGAGAGGGGCAGTTCACAACAAAAATTTATCTCGCACAAGGTCAACGTTTTTTTTTAATTTTCAGGGATGCTATCTTAAGATATCAAAAAAAAAAGTTCGAAGTAAAATTCAAAAATAGAAATTCTCATTTCAAGTTTTCTATTAAAAATTTTTTATGTAAGAACAAAGTTTTTATATAAACAATAGTTTGTACAGTCAGTCAAAAAAATTTTCATACACTAAATGATTTCTGTATATTTTTTAGCTAATGCCATTATATCTAAAGACCACCAAGCTCAGAAAGCAAATTATGTTAAAAATTCGTGACTTCAATAATGCGCTCACGACGTAAATTTTACAAAGTATCAAGTTGCAAAAAGTTTTGGTAAATTCTTAAACGTCAAATTTTACAAAATCTGAGTTGTCTGAGTTTACGAATACTCTACTGCGTTTTTACTTTCAGTCAAAGTTTAAATTCTTAAACGTTTAAAAAAAGTCAATTAAGCGTCAAAATTGTAGATTTTTTTTTTACATGCAGACAGTCTGACGTAGTAATTCAGTAAATAAATTTGATGTATTGAGTGACTATCATTACGTTAAAAATAATATAAAAAATATTTTTTTTGTTAATTTTTAATATGTAAGTATAAAATTATTTTAAATCTAAAAAAAATTTTTTTTTTGTTTTGACGTTTACGGATGATCAAAATTCAAAGTCAATTACGGGTAAAAAGTTTACTACATTTCTGTCCGTAAAAGTTTTATACGTCAGACAGTTTGCAGACTGAAAACAAAATTTTGACGTTAAAGAATTTGCGGTTTAGTAAAAGCTCTTGACATGGTACACTTTTCCTAAATGCGTTTTATACATAGTGGAGACGTAAAATAAAAGTAAATCAAGTATCGAAAAAATCGGGCACGCATTTCTTAAATCTTGTCATATAAATGATGCCAGAAATAACCGATAAAATAAACTAGCATACATTTTCAGCAATAAAGTTCTTTTTTCCTAAAATGCAGCATAAAAATGCTATGTTTTTAATGATGTGGTAACGATTTATAAAAATTAATATTTGCACAGAACTTTAAATTGAAATTTTCAGATAAACGTCAAAGTTGTATTGATAAGGCAAAAATTGTATTCCAAAATGTACAAAAAGCTTTAATAGTTTTTTTTACAATATAAAGGTATTGAAAACTCTGAGACGGTACTAAAACGTATAATAAACTGAGACGTATTAATACCGTACTTAAATCATTTTTAAGCATTATTGAAGCCACGGTTTTAGTGACTTCAATAATGCTTTATAAAAAGTTTAAGTACGGTATTTAATTCTAAGTTTTTGAAAAATTAAATTAAACAATGGAAGTGTTACATTTATTTTGCTTTATTAAATTTATAAAAACCTTGCATTTAAAATTTACTGCAAGTAACTAAATTTTTGTAATTAATAATTATAATTATAAGTAGGTCAAAATAATTTCAAAACCATTCCAGGACTCAAGTTTTCATCTACAAGCTTACAAACCTCAGCTATAATAAGTAAAATGGTTTGTTGAGGAAGAACGACACTCAAATCTTAACCTGCATAAAAATTTTTTGCTATCCATATTTGTTTAAAAAATTAACAACAATCGCCTCCTTTTTATACATACATTTAAATGAGCCTTATTCTAGTTGTCGAAGTAGAGCGACAATTGTCATTACGACTTGAATTTGATATTCTAAGCGGCAATCGCAGTGACAATCGTCGGCGAATAGCGGGAAAATGTGTTTCAGCCATATTCCAGTTGTCGTTCTGATGCGAGATATGTCGTAGTGAAACGACGTTTTTTGTCGAAAAGTATTTACAAGTGACAAGAAAGAAGGATAAACCAAAAATGCAAGTTAAAACAAAACAATTTAACAAAATCATAAAAAAATTAATTTTATACATAAATCAAGTCATAAAATATATAATTTAATTTTTGTATTTATAAATTTGAAGAATTGGAAATTTCATGACAGGGAACGCCTTGAATATATTCAGTAAATATACAAAGGCCTCCTTTTGAAGTTTGTAATAGTTTATAAATCTGTGAATAAAATAAAATGTTTGCAACTAATTTTCTAGAAAAAATTTGGCAAATCCAATGGATTACAGCTGTCGCTAATCTTAAATCTTTCGATCCTTAATTGTTGTTTTTTTTTAATTTCATCACTACCGGAATCAGATGAATTCGTAAACCATAATGCAAATAACATTTTTTATTATTTAAAAATATAAATATATACACTGAAAATTTTTTTTAGTTTGAACTTTACTCGCCGAAATTTCTTTTTAAAATGTATCAACTTCACTGTCATTTTCGATTATTTCTCGCACTCACGTCACTCGACAACCAGAATACCACATTTCAAATCATCGACTTTCATATTTTTACATAGTAGGCCACCAGGGTACCAACTTGAACAATACTCATACAGTCCCATACAATCATATTACCGTCACTGTTTTATTTTTTCCAAAATATTTTTCTTTATTGAAAGCAGTGGGTGACGGGGGGGGGTAATGGGGTAGTATTGCGCAATACGGCTGTTGGGTTTCTTGTTACCACAGCCTAGAATAAGCTACTCAACGCCATATCTCACCTACAAGTAGTCCCTCCTGCTGCAGGAGGGACAAGCAACTCCTATGAAAGATCTGGTTCCAACCCAGGTAGTGTAATTCGGGTCAGCTAGCAAATGGGATTGGCGGTTATGCAGAGAGCTTAATTCGGAGCGTCTGTTCCAATAGTTGTCGGCTCCGGGCGGACGTCTGTCTTGCAGCAAGCGGCTCGCTTTATAAATGTGCATTCAAATTCATTTACATATGTATATATTTAAACATGCAATGTCGAAAACAAAATGATTTATTTTCCCAGGTGGCAGACCAGTTGATCTGGAAAATCCACTCTCTTCGGAGATCGGTCCCATGGATTCTGGGGGGGACCAAAAATTGCTTTTCCGTAGGAGTACATTAATACCGAGAACTCCACCTAAAATATCATCGAACGATACACCCTCCGCAAGTTACAAACGTTTATCAGAGACAGCCAGAAACACCATTCACAAGGCTGAAAAGAGGATTAATGCAACTAGTTCTTCAATACCCAACTTGGATCCAAGATATTCAGAAAATTCCAGAGCTTTAGAAGAGGAAAATGAAAAACTTCCACAGAAGATAATGTCAATGAAAGAAATACTAGCTACATGAGACAAAAAATCAACCAAATGAAGGCTGAAAATGCAGCCCTCAAATCCCAATTCAAAGAAGCGAAAAGCAAGCAACCTGTCGTTCCGTCAAGAGTAGTGAGCTTAAGTGAGAAATCCGATCTTACGGGGTATGACTCAGAGATGAAACCGACGACTATACGTAGAGAGAAGAAACCCTGTAAGAAGAGAAAAACGAAATCATCGCCAGAAGTGAACACAACCGAGCAGACAGCAGTAAATAATCAGCCAGACATGTTCAAACTAGTAGTAAACACCGAAAATGACATCAACACCAATCAACAAGTGAAAGTGAACAAAACGTATGTGCACAGTCCGCCTCCCATTAATATTGTGGGAATAGTCCCTAGGCTGTGAAAACTGTTAAACGCTGTTATCGCAAACTATAAGATAACTGCATTGGGTAACAACGTGTTTAAAGTGAACACTGAAAGTCCACTGATTTGCACACAGTAAAATGTGGTGCAAATCATTTCACTTCTGCTTGCAATAAAAGTCGAAACGTTCCTCCAAAATGTTCTAAATGTAATGGAGCTCATCCTGCCAATTATAGGGGATGCGAGGTTGCGAGGGAACTTCAACGTAGAACAAACATGGCAACAAGTGCACGGCACAAAACTACAGCTCCTTCAAGTTTTCCATTGGTGATTCAGGTTCAAGAAAGGGGTGTCGGGCCGCCCTTGACACCCAACATAATTAAGAGAAAGGCAGTTCCAATGGCAAAATCAAAGAAAAAGACTTACGCTCAAGTTGCTGCAAAACCTACAACGGACGAAATTCTAGAGCTTATACTTGACGATGACAAAATTGCTGAAAAACAATTCAATGATAGATTGGCGAGGCTAGAAAATAAAATAAACACAAGACTAAATAAAAGATGACACAAACTTTTAGAATTATGACATGGAATACTGATGGTCTCCCGAGCATATGCAGCAACTTGAAATCTTCCTCAACAGAGAAAAACGCTTGACGCTTGCTTGGTTACAGAAACCCATTTTACCAAAGAAAGTAACCTAAAAATTAATGGTTATAAGTGCTACAGTGCAATACATCCTCATAATAAAGCTAAAGGCGGCTCGTCAATTTTTATCAAAAGTAATATTAAGTATCAGGGACAGATTAGTGTTGAAAAACAAACAATGCAAATTTCTTCGGTTAAAACGTCTACGTTAAAAATAAGAAATTAGTGATTGCTTCCTTTTACTGTCCCCCACGCTATAATTAAAAGTGGGTGATTATAAATCAATGCTTGATCATATGGGTAAAGACTTCCTGATCGGTGGCGACTTCAATGCAAAAAATACTTTGTAGGGGTCCAGACTCACGACTCTGAAAAATAGGGCTCTTTACGAAGCAGCAGTTGGTATCGGTTGTAATTTTCACTCCACCAGAAAACCAACTTATTGGCCAATAGACAGAAACAGAATTCCAAACCTATTGGACTTTTTCATAACTAGAGGATTTTCCGACAATTATACATATATAACCGAAAGTTACGATTTAAACTCTGACCACTCTCCAGTTATATTAACGGTCTAGGAAGCAGTGATACTCAAAAGTGACATTTGCAAACTAACCAACCGGACAACCAATAAAACATACTTGAAAACAATACAGTGTTAAACGTACCACTAAGAACTAAATACCAACTTGAAGAAGAGCTTGATCTATTCATAACAAATGCACAGGGCGCAGGCTGGAGTAGCTTCTCGGAAGTTAAAAAAAAGGGCAAAAAATGTGACGTATCCACTAGAAGTAAGGAACCTGATCGCTGAAAAAAAGAGAGCAC